GATTTATTCAATGACTCTCTCAAATTTAGAAAATTATAGAGAGAAAAGTTGAGAATTTTAAAAATTTAAATTTATTGATTGCACTTAGTACAAGCATTAAGTGCCTATATCATTAAAACCATTGAAATCTAACTCAATGATTTAAATTTATACTTCACTTAAAATTAATAAATGAGTAAATTTATCTAAATTATTGATATGAATTTTAATAATTCAAATGATACAGATACTCATATCTATAATTACCAAATTTAAATCCAAAGTTTAATATGTTTTCACCCCTAAATTAAAATGAAAAGGTAAGAGAAAAAAGAAAAAAAAAAACTCATTATGTTGGGCTTTTATTGGGCTTTTAAGGGGAACTTGAGTAGCATCTTTGTTGAAAGAATGAAACAATTCTATATCAAAAAATCCTTATGAGCATGGCCCATTCTTACTTCCTGTCAAAAATGCACAATTCTTAGGGAGTGTTCAGGTTGGTGAATTTCGAATTTAATTTAGATCTTAATATTTAAAATTTATGTATTTAAAAATTTTTAATTAAATTGTTTAAAAATTTTGTATTTAGTTGAGATTTGAAACAAAAACAAAAAATTTAAAGTTGTGAGTTTTACCTGACATGGCAAAATTTAATTTGTTAATTAGATAATAGAGTTATTAACGGTAGGAGGCTTTGAAAAGAAAAATAAAATATTACGAAGGTTAATTTTAAAGTTTAAAGATAAAAAAAGTTATATGCAACAATATTGTTAAATAATCTAGGGGAGTTTTGTAAATTAGTGCCAAAGTTTTATTGTGTATAAATACTTTTTTTTTTTACAAATAACAAGATTAGTATTATTTATATGAATGAACACTTTTTTTTTTTGCTATCTGTTTTTTGGCTTGCACAGCCTAGCATAACGAGGTAAAATCATATTCCCTTACTTTTCTCTTCTCCCATTCTCTCTTCCATCATTTTCTCTCCTTGTTATTTTCTATTATCAGCCAATCACTACTTAATTGTCCATAATGTAAACCAAAATATCAGCAACCTGAATTGACGGCTTTAATGTATTTGGTGCAGCTTACATTGAATCTACAACTAAGAATTAATTGAATGATATTAAAAACGGATAGTGGTTACTGGTTGGAAGGCTTTATAGACCTAACTACCTTGAAAATAGATTGTTGTAAATTAAATATTTGATGAGAATTGAAAATTATAGTTTTATATTTATAATTGATTTTGATGTGTGTTTGATATTTTTTAAAAAGTCATGAATTTAAATTTATAATATATACATATATATATATATATTTCATAAAATCATAATTTTTGCCTTTAAAATATTGATTATTTTTATTATCCAAACATGCACAAGGATTCATACACAAAATGGAATATTGAAATATAATGGAGAAAAGAAAGAAGGACAGACTAATTAATAAATATTAATATATATTGCAATGAACAAGACATCATATAGATTGACTTAGACTTCTCAAGGAGGCAGTGGCAGAGCCAAATCCATAGGTTTAAAAAACTTTTAAAATGTAAAAAAAAATATTGTGAAATCAGAATCGTTTAGATCAAATATAAATGGTCCAAAATTGTTAAAATACAGCAACATAAGCAAATACTATATGTCACCATGATACCCAAAAAAAAAAAATTGTCTTAAGCTTAACAAATTGACCTATTTATTGGGCATTTTTCTTACATTATTTATATTATTTTACATTCATATGATTTTGGAGTACGATTTAGCCTCGTGTCCTCATCCATCTTCGACGCCGACAGAATATCTGGCCCGTTTGAGCATCAAGTTTAATTTCATAGTTAATAATAATATTATATTAACTCTAATGTTTCTATTACTCATGATTAACAATTCTTCCAATAGACCAATAAGATTGAGTCTAGTAGAAGAGGTTGATCCTTTACAACGTGGTGAACTAAGGTTTAAATCTTTATTGAAAGATGTGTTTACATTTAATAGATAATGGTATCTCGAACAAGATTATTTCCAATAAAAGGATATATATAAGAAATAAGAAAGAAAAAAAAACAATTCTTCCAATATCATCCTTAATTAATCAACCTCAAACTACTCCTTTAAATCCTAAAACCATGTCTTCTAACACAAAACTTCGATCCGACAATCATCTATTTAACCCTATAATTTTTCTCAAAAATAATCAATTCATATAAACTTTTAACAACCATAATTAACTTTCAGAATCCTATTATCAACAATTTAGGACCTAGGGTTAACTCTAATCGATCCTAAGTCATCAAACCATGAATGAAATAAATCGATTAAATACTTAGAAATCTCCAAATAGCTTATTCATAATGATTAAACCAAAATCAATTAGTAAAAACCTCAAAGAATTTGAAACTCTAACGTTTTATCTCAACTACCAAGCTCAAGTCAACAAAAGTATAGGAAACGGAAGTAGATTATAGGTTTATAATTACTTAATAGAGGGTTAAGAAGCTCAAATCGTGATCCAAAGCTCAAAAATGACAAATCCGATCTCCTTCTCTCTATTCACCGTTCTCCCTCTCCTCTCTTCTTTCCATTATCTAAAGACTTGTTTAGAAAACAGGCCCGCGATGACGTTCACGAGTGGTCGTACCTATTAATTTTGCATTGGCGCATGGGTGAACGTCGAGGGTCAATTATGCTTACTCAACGTTCGTCTGCAAATGGATGAGCATTGAACGGACATTTGGATAAATATGGCTCTTCTTTGCCATTTCTGCCGACGGGCAACCACATAACCCTTAAACCTCCATAAATCACTTATTAACCTCATCTCCCACCTAAACAGCTCTAAAATTAACATTAATCAAGTCCCAATCAAGCCAATTAACTCTTAATTCTCAATTACAAAATCAAGATGTTACACATTCTCCCATTAAAATTTTCCTGAGTTAATTTTTTTTGTTACTCATTTTCATATTTTTAGCATCTAGCATAACTATTTTAATTTCAATATTCATCTTCAGCATTTTTAGTATTCAATTTTTTGTTATTTTTTTAAAAATCATCATAGATGTTTTCAATAATCATTTTCCATGTTTTTTCAAGACTATAAAAAGAACTTATCTTTCCTTATTTTTTGGTCTAAAATCATGTAAGATGAGTATTGAGGACATTTAAAGTGACCACTTAAAAGAATAAGAAAACCGAGTACTAAAAATGTTAAAAAATGACCATTAAAATTGTATAAGGTGAGAACTGAAAAAATTTAATTAAAATTTTTAATCACTATTAAGGATTATATATAGTCTTTTTCAAAAATTTTAAGATTTTAAAGTTTTTTTTAAGTATAAAGCATAGGCTTTGTTGATAGCAAAAAATATTTCTCTTGAAGTACTGAGAGCAATGGAATGACTATAGCTCTTAGTAAATTTGCCAAAAGATGACAATAATTTATTTGACATGACGGATGATTGGTTATGAAGGGTGGCTGTTTCGTTATCGTAGGTTGTTCTGGTATATTACTCTTTCTCTGTGCCTATTTTGCCTTGGGAGGTTGGTTTACACATATAACCTTTATAATTTCATGGTATATAGGGATTGGCAAACTATTATTTAGAAGGTTGTAACTTCTTAACCAACTGCTATAGTCTGTATGCCTACTAATAGTTTAACACACACTTTGTTGTTACTATGGGGTCCTATTGATGTACAAGGAGATTTTATATGTTGGTGTCAATTTGGTGGATATTGGACTTTTGTTGCTCTGGATGGTGCTTTCGGACTAATAAGTTCATGTTACGTCAATTTAAACTTGCTCCATTTGTTTAATTGCATCCTTATAATGCAATAATAACTTTTCCTGGTCCAATCGATGTTATAACCAAATTAAATATCGCAAAAAAGAAACAAAATGGAAAGAAACTAATGCTTTGCATTAGCAAGAAAGAAAAGAAGGGAGAAAGAAAAGTGAAGGAAAACAAAATGAACGGAAAATAATAAGTAGGATGCACATAATTTTCCTAAACTTTTCTTTCAAAAAAGGGAAGGTTTTGAACGGAAAACCCCACTTTCAAATTTTTCCACAATTTTTTTAATGTTTCCTGCCTCTATACATACATACATACATACATAGTATGTATGTATATGGTTCCTTCCATATATTTGATTGTAGTTTAAATTTTAGATTATTGTATGTTTAATAATTCAAAACATAAAATTTAAAATTAGATAAAATAATTTTCAATTATATTTTATTTCATTAGGATAAATAGGAAAAATTATATAAATAATATGTTAAATATTAAATTTTATTACGTATATATAAATATTTTTTACAAATAATAAAGTTATTATTATCTATTTGAATTAACAACTTTTTGCTTATTTTCACTGGCTCAATCAAACATAATGAGATCTGGCCAGAATAAAAAATAAAAAATCACGGGACTGTTTGAAAATGTTTTTATTTTATTGTTCTGAAAACTGGTGCTTTGTAAAACATGTTTTGAGAACCAAAAAAAATAATGAAAATAGATATTTTTCTCATTCTTCCTTATTTTTTAGAACAATAATTCCAAAACATCTGAAAGTTGTTTTCATTTTTTTGTTCTTTAAAACAATATTTTATTTTTTTTGTTCTCTAAAACACATTTTAAAAATACGTTACCAAACAGGCTTTTTTGTTCTTTTGTTTTAGAGAATATAAAACTGTTCTCAGAACAGGTTACCAAACAGGCATCTCTCTTTTTTTCCTTCTCTTTCCCCTCATTTTTCCTCAACCATCTTTTCTCTGTTAGCCTAGGAAGTGGAGTCTCTCCATTTCTTTTCTCTTCATTTCCCTCCACTTTTTCCATCCCCACCATTCAAATTTTTTTATTAAACAATTTTTTTTAATAATAAAATTAATGAATGATAGGGATTGGGGAAATGAAAGGAAAGGGAGGGGAAAAAATGAAGAGAGCAGGCTAGCCTAGTATACTACCTGACAGTCCAGTACTGCCTCACTACTATCCAATATTAATGCAAACCAGAATACCAGCAAGCAGGATTGAACGGCATTGGCTTATAGGAGCACAATTTGAACATTATTCTCCTTCTCTATTCATTGGCTATATAATTGTAGTTGTATAGTACATCATATGATCTATAGAAGCAAAGCTCTCCGTTTGTATTCATGACTACACTCAAGTTCTGCAAAGAAAGGGAGGCACTGGTAATTTCCTCGGACCCTGGTTTACTGGAATGAACTATTTGGTGACCTGTGACCGCATGAACGTACATTCGCATTATGAGCAAGAATTTCGCTAACTACATTAAGGGGCATGACCTTCGCGAGGTTCTCGATGCTTTTGGTGATTCTATTTTTACTGTAGATTCAGATGCATGGGAACACTACAGGGCACTTCAGCACTCAGTTTTCAAAACAAAATGCTTCGAGAAGTTTCGGGAGAAGATTGTTCGAGAGAAGGTGGAGAGTTGTTTGATTCCTCTTCTTGATCATGTCGAGAAGTGAGGGGTTGAAGTGGATGTGCAAGACGTTTTTGGTTGCTTCAACTTTGATGCTGCTTGCGCTACAGTCTTAGGATTTGATCCAAAAATCCTCACACTAGATTTCCAAGAAGTTGCATGCATGAGAGCCTTTTGATGAAGTAGGAGAGTTCATATTTTAGAGACACACAATACCTAAAAGCATCTGGAAGCTTCAGAGATGGCTTGGAATCGGACCAGAGAAGAAGATGGCCCGAGCATGTGCAGTGTTTGACCGATTCCTCTATGAAAGTATAGCATCAAAGAGAGAAAAGCTCCAAAAAATCAACGGAAACGAGAGGAAACTGACAATTTGCTAGCATGTTTGATGAGGGGGACGAAGGAAAAGATGACGCGGATGACAAGATTCTAAGAGACATTGCTTTTAGTCTTCTTTTTGCAGGTAGAGATACCATAACTTCAGCTCTCACATGGTTCTTTTGGCTTGTTGCTACACACCCTTCAGTAGAAGCAAAGATTCATGAAGAGATCAAAGAAGAAAAGGAAGTGAAAGATCAAGTATATCTCCATGCTGCTTTGTGTGAACGTTTGAGATTGTATCCTCCCGTACCTTTGGTTCTTAGGCAAACGATCAAACATGATATTCTTCCTAGTGGGCATGAGGTCAGTCCTAGTAATATGATAATGACTTCTCTGTATGCTATGTGAAGGTATGAAGAAATATGGGAAAAAGATTGCTTAGAATTCAAATTAGAAAGATAGATCTCAAAGTGAGGAGGCATTGTTCACATGCCATCATATAAGTTTAGTACTTTCACTGCAAATCCTAGGACATGCTTGGGTAAGGACTTGTCTTTCACTCAAACAAAGATGATAGCTTCTACTATCTTGTGTAACTATCAATTTCATGTGCTGGAAGTCTGGAAGATCATCTCATTTCTCCCACACTTTCAATAGTGCTTCAAATGAGATATGGTCTTGAGGTTTGAATCATAAAAAGAAATTGACCAATATAATGTAAAAGTAGAAGAAGGTAATTTATATTTTGTGTTGTATGTTTGAACTCTTTTGTCATGCTTGCATCTGTTTTTCTACTTCGGTAATGTTATTATGTGTGTATTGGTTGAACGGATGGCATGATGTTGTTGGCAATTAGTAAAATCTACTTTTGCACTCTTTAGATAATCAATGCATTCATTCAATTACTTCGGCCATCCCTCATATATAGGTAGGATAGGTATATATAGCATACAAGCTTGCTCACTCAAAACTTTCTATGGTCTATTATTTATGATGCATGGACACTAATACATGTATTAGATACGATAAATATTCGATACTTCAATACTTTTATTTTAAAAATATAAGAAACGATATATTTTTTTATACGTGCACATACATACATACATTGATATATATATATATAAAAATAAAAAACATTAAAAATATAATTTCAATTTAAAAAATATCTAAAATAGCATTCATATAAATTCCTGTAAAATAATATAAAGCAAAACATAACCATTATTTTTATTATTATTCTATCTATACCTAATTATATATTTATAAAAAATAAAAAAAATTTAAAATATAATTTTAATTTAGAAAATATCCAAAAGAGCATACATATATAATCTTGTAAAATAATATGAAACAAAACATAATCATTACTTGTATTTTTATTCTATCTATATTTAATTGACTATAATCTAGTCTATGCTAATAGTTCCCCACCTATGGTTTAAATGCCAAAAGATTATATTCCTATATTTTTATAATTAAAAAATAATTTTTATCTTTTTATTTTATCTAAAACTTATTTTTAAGAAAAATATAATATTTAATTTTAAAATAAAATCAAAAAAATTAGAAATAGAAAAGATTAATATCGCAATATTAGAAAAATTAATTTTTTAAAAATAGTCTTCAAGGATCAGCTTTAAAGTACTAAGTCATAATATGAAAAGATTGGATATGCATCAAAAATGAAAAAAATATTTTGATACTCTATAGATATGTATTGAAAAAATATTGGTATCAGATATTGATATGTAGGCCAACTTGAAGTATTGGTGCTTTACAACCTATCACATAAGGCCTTTGGTCTTGTTTATATGTCTAAAATTCAACAAGTTTTCAACTTTATCTCTATTAAATATACCTCATTTAAAATAAAATACTCTAACATGTAATAAAATTACCTACATTTAATAATGGCTAAATAATAAAAATAAATATAATAATTATTGAAGTGCCTCATAAATAGAACAAAAACATTATCTCTCTTCTCTATAAATAGGATTAGAGAAGTATGTATGTTATACATTTATATATATTGCCTCTCTATATTATACACACAATTAGACTATTTATTTATTTATTATTTTTTATATACTCTTTCTGATCTTATATATAGGTCACTTTTAATATTTCATCAGAATCAAAAAAATCTAGTTAACTTATCAGTATTTGTCATAAAAAGATGTTTTTTTTAGTTTATTCTTAGTAAATGCATATCCTTAAAAATATTTTATCTCTCATATAAAGCTTCTTACTCTATTTATAAGAAATTGTAAAAGAGTACAATTGGAAAAAAAAAAATGTTCTCCACTAGTCCAAAATTATAAGACACTTTTAAAAGAAATTTAATGTTACAAAATATAAGATACTTTGATAAAAGCTTAATATAATGAGTCTTCTTTTTCTTTTACCCCCTTTTAGAGATATTTTAGATTCTCATTCTGTCTAACAATTAAAATCCTCATGGATCCGTCTGGTTACTGGAGAAGATGGCAGGCTTGTTGTGGTGGAGAGGTGATAAGAAACAATGGAGTTGCTAGATATTGTTAGTTTTGCTTCTTTTGTCATATCCTTTCCTCTTCCATCACTGAAATGGTTGGCATTTCACAAGGGCTGGATCTATATGTTCTAGGATGAGACTTCAAGGAGTCAATGTTTTTCACAGATCGAGCTAAGGCAGTGAACCTTCTCTTGCGGTATGAGATCGAAAATTATCCGTTCAGAGATATCATCCATTCTGCTAGATTCCTCTTATTTAGGAGTAGTTGTCTCTTTGAATTTTATGTTTAGAGAGACTAATTGTTGTAGCCATTTAATTTGTTAGTTAGTTTTGCTATGAATCTTACCTTAACTATGGTGAACCATGAAAAGAGAACAAAATTTTGCTGAAGAAGGAGAACAAAAATTTAAACAAGAGGACTAACACGGTAAGAATGAAACTCATAAGTCACGAGATTGTAAGATTAAATTTTATTAATGATTTAAGAATTTTATTAATGGATGATTTGTGAGTACTTTTGTAAGACTTTTTAAACCTAGAAAGTATAATGTATGAAAGAATATCATCAAAGTTTATCTAGTCAGCAAGAATTTGGCTGATGATATATAAGGTTGTGGTATCAAATTCTATTACGGATGTGAGAATCTTATTGATTAATGATCTTTAAATATTTTATAAGTATTTTTTTAATTTAAAAGTATGTTCTGGTTTTGATAAATCTGGGGACTTAATTCATCTAAGCCTTTATCAGAGACGATGCTACAAAGACCCCCTCCTTAAAGACAGGCCTATATTCGGAATGCTACCACCAGCTCTCAGCAATTTAGGTCAGATTCATGACTATATGACTCAGGCTCTTCAAAGAAAAGAGGGTACAGGGAGCTTCGTTGGACCTTGGTTTACTGGAATGAACGGTTTGGTGACTTGCAACCCCATGAACGTACATCACATGATGAGTAAGAATTTCGCCAACTACATAAAAGGTCCAGAATTTCATGAGATTTTTGAACCTTTCGGGGAAGGGATTTTCACTGCAGATTCAGACACATGGAAGTATCACAGGGCACTTCTCCATTCCTTGTTTAAAACCCCAAGCTTCGAGAAGTTTCTGGAAAAGATCGTTCGAGAGAAGGTGGATTTCTGTCTTTCTCCTCTTCTTGATCATCTAGAAAGGCAGGGAATTGAAGTGGATCTGCAAGACGTGTTCAATCGCTTCAACTTCGATATTATTTTCTCCATGGTCTTAGGATCTGATCCCAAAAGCCTTGCGGTTGATTTCCCAAAAGTTACATGTGAGAGAGCTTTCAATGAGGCTGAGGAGTTTATATTCTACAGATACTCAGTACCTAGATGCATCTGGAAACTTCAGAGATGGCTTCGAGTTGGAGCAGAGAAGAAGATGGCTGAAGTATGTCAATTGTTTGACCAATTCCTCTATGAAAGTATAGCATCAAAGAGAGAAGAGCTTAGAAAAAACAATGAAATGAAGAAAACAGAGGAGGACTTGCTGACAACTTTGATGAGGGAGGAACAAGGTAAAGAACATGTGAATGACAAGTTTCTAAGAGACACTGCTTTTAATCTTTTTGTCGCAGGTAGAGACACCATAACTTCAGCTCTCACGTGGTTCTTTTGGCTTGTCGCTACACACCCTTCAGTGGAAGCCAAGATTCTTGAAGAAACCAAAGAAGAAAAGGAAATGAAACATCAAGTGTATCTCCATGGTGCTCTGTGTGAATCTCTGAGACTGTTCCCTCCAATACCTTTTGAGCACAAGCAAGCGACCAAACACGACTCCCTTCCTAGTGGACATGAGGTTTATCCTGGTACTATGATATTTTTATCTTTGTACGCAATGGGAAGGTGAGAGAAAATGTGGGGAAAAGATTGCTTGGAATTCAAACCGGAGAGGTGGATCTCAGAAAGAAGACGTGTCGTTCACATACCTTCATACAAGTTCCTTAGTTTCAACGCCGGACCAAGAACTTGTTTGGGTAATGACTTGTCTTTCCTTCAAATGAAGATAATGGCGACTTTTATTTTGAAGAATTATCAAGTTCATGTGGCGGAAGATCATCCCGGTTTCTCCAGCCCTTTCAATAGTGCTTCTGATGAAGTATGGTCTCAAAGTTCGAATCATATCAAGGTGCTGATTATTTTCCTGGGTTCAATCTTTTTATTTTATGTATAATTGTGAAATAACTCATTAAACAGAGCTAAAACAATGAACTTTAACTATGTTATGAGATTGATCAGTGGTAAAATTATTCAGATGATGGAGTACGGGTAACATTTACTCATTCCCTTCAAGTGGTGTGCTGAAACTGCGTTGATTGCATGTGTAAATTACTATATTTGATTTGGATGTTCAACTATTTTTAATATATGTATTACTTATAGGAAGTAATTAATAACGATGGTGGAAGGATAAGGATATTGCAATCACAGTGTATATCTCTATCAGGAGATGGAGATTGCTCATCAGGGGTGTTCATAATTAATTAATTTTCTTATATATCTAGACTCTAGACTGAACATTATTATTAGAATGAAGTTATATATATGGCTCATATGGGTTCAAGCTCATAGATCTAGTTATTTTAAAATCGATAAAACCCAGTCCTTATTCAATTAGTTCAAGGTTGAGTTCATATGGCCTTTTTATTATTTTATTATTTTTTAAATTTTTAAAAGTTAAAAATTTCAATTATAAGATTTCAATTTTTTTTAAAATACAAATTATCATGTTCAAAAATTAAAAATTAAAAATTTTAAAATATAAAATTTAAAAGACTTTATTTCTTAATGATAAAGTAAAAACAGATTTAAACAAGACACTCAAGGTCAAGCCCCTTTTCAAGACCTATTAAGACTTGGTTTCAAAATTTAATTTTTTTAAAAATATTATTTTTTTAAACTCGACCTTTATTCATAGCTCTAATTGCAATATTAGAAAAAACTAGTTATTTTAATTATTACAAAAGATTATATTGTAGTTACAGGAAAGATAAACAGTAAAATATTCAAATTTTATGGATACGTAAAATTTACACTTATCCCTTTTCTAAGTGAGTGGAGAAATGGAAGTAGAATTTTATTTTTTTTCTTAATATTTCTTGATATTTTTAAATTATACGTCCTTCAAGAATAGACGTTGAAAGAGATTTGGAAATTAATATTAATAGTTTGTGCAGGAGTCCAGCAATAATTATGAAGGTTTTTTAATTTAAAAATATAAAACTAATATTTAAATAAACACAAAAAGAATTAGTGAAATGCCCATATTTTAAGGATATTACGTTAGTGGTATGCTCGTCAGGTTCAATGGATTATTGATGTGAGAGAATTTATGAACCGCCTATACGTACCATTTATAATTTATTTGTCTTTTATGAATCAAACTTATTCGCAAAAATTATGAAATTATTATTTTAGTTTTATATATTATGATTCCATTTGATCACTAGAAAAGAATAGAATGAAATGAATTAAAAAATAAAAATAAAAATAAATTAAATTACTTTCCTTTATGGTAAATATGATAAAATTTATTAATATATATTATAAAATCATCACAACTGTTAAAAATATTATGAATTATGATTTCTAACTTTATGAGTATTAAATTACCTGATCGCTCTCGGAAGTGTACGAGATCACAGTAATAAATTACCCAGAGTATTCTAGGTGTCGAACCCATAGGGAAGTTACACTTTTACTAATTTAAATAATTAATAGTTTGAGAAAAATAGATAAAATGGATAATTTTGATAAAACTATAAGAAATAAAAATAAATCAAGAAAATAATAATGATAAAAATGCAATCACTTAAAGTGTTGGGATTTAGAATTCACCCTATAGGTTGCTAATTTCTACCCTTTGGGTTGACTCAGATTAATTATAGTGATAACTATTCCTAAAGTGTCTTAATATTCTCCCAAATTATTAGTCCCTTTTTAATTAGTGTTGAATTTGTTCCCATGATACCCAAACAACTAATTAAACTATGAAGCTATAGTTTAAATCATCATAAATTTTTAGAACTATTCCTAGCCTAGTTATTTATGTTTATTTTTCTAGATCTAAGTTCTCTCTTCACCTCCCAGTCCATCAATTTACCTATAGATTTGATTAAATGGTGGCTAGTCATTAAATCCATATGAAGAACAAGAGAAATAAATATAATTAGGAAAAAGAAAAAATATTCATAAATATAAATGCAAAGAGTCAAAACAAAGGAAATAGAAAACTAGCTCCCCAATTGGGCTACATCCTTACCCCAACTGGGTAATTTAGAAACACATAATAAAATCAAATAAAACCGTTCTAAAATCTCCAATCATGAAAAATAATCACAGAGAAAATTAAGGAGTAGAAGAGAAATAATTATAATTTGTGAAACTCCTCAATGATCTCGCTTTCAGCCTCAAAATGCTTATACGAGCTCTAAATATCTTAGAGAGAATTTTGAGGTACTTAGATAAGTGATTGGATACCTTCCCTCTTGATGGAGGGAGTATTTATAGTTAAAGTGAAGGCTCATTCTTTTTTTTTCTTATCGATGTCAGACTCTAATATATATATATATATATATATTTCTCTTTTCCTTCTATTTGGTTTATTCTTTTTCTCTGCAAAATATAAAGATAAAAAGATATGAGTAGATTTTGTATTAAAATTCCTTTGTTATCTTATAATTAAGTGATGAGGGAAAAATATATAAATATCAATTAAATAGATATGAAATATTAATAAATATAATCAAATTCAAACTAAAATCTATACCTATTTAATTATAAAATATGCACTTATCATTACCCTCCCTCTTATGAATGTATTCACCTATATCTTTTGATAATATTTTTTCCACATATATTTTTTAATTTATTCTATTCTAGTAAGCAAGCATAACCATAATCTCATCCTCGTTAGCAGATCATATGCACATCACATCACATGTGCATAATCGGATCACATCATTATTGAATGGGATCGATGGATGTTCTAAAATTGAGAATCTCTATGAATTTCATAAAAATTTTTAAAAATGGAGAAGATTTTATATTTTATAAAGAAAATAATAAATTCAGAAAAATAGAAAAAGAAAGAAAGAATTCATGAAAACTTATGGATATCAATTTCACTAGATTTGTTCTCAGAGAGAATTTCAATTAAAGATCATGAAAGAGAGATATTTACTAATAAGTCACAAAAAAAATTGAAGATTCTCTACGAATTTTTTTGACTTTAGTTGAAATAAAATAGGTAGCTAAAAAACCATAATGCCTTTTTGCAAAATTAATAAGTGCTTAGTCACTCCCTAACTTTACTTCTTAAATTCTTGCACTTATTCATTCCTTAACAGTACTTGTCAAATATTTAACTAGTTAATTTTGTAACTCCATATTTTTAAGAACATTACTTGTTAATTTCACAATTTTATTTTTTAATTCGTCAACATGATTTGTTAACTACTTAACTTAACTCATGAATCTTTTACAAGACTTGTTCACTTAATTTGACTGAAAAGCGCAATTATTAGTTGGTAATTTTCTTATTTGTTAATTTACCGATATCAGTCGTAAATTACCTGACTTCACTTGTTAATAATCATACTAATATCAACTATTAATCATCTCACTTTTACTTGTTAATTTATTAATATCAGTTATAAATTACATGATTTGTCAATATCATACGAGTTCAATTATTTAGTCCTAAATACATAATCATTAGTTATTAATTTTCTAACTTTATTTATTAATTTATTAATATCAGTTGCAACAAAAGAGCATCTTAATTAGTCTTTTCAACCACCCAATTAATTTCAGTTTATTCTAAAAATCTTGTAGAAAATTTTAAATTTTTTTGAAGACTCACTGGTAAATATCTCTCTTCTATATGCTAGAAATTCTCCCCTATGTCTACCTTTATTCATTATATGAACATATTTTGAATGAGATTATATCTAATAAAAAAATACATATGTGCAACAAAAAAAAAATAAATGCATACTTCATTTGGTAAAAATAAATATGAACTTTAATGATTCAATTTATTTTTGTTTGTTTAGAAAAAGTATTCTTTTCACATTAAATACACAACAACAAACAAGGGACTTTTGGTGACCTAAAAGTTGCCACTAAAGATTTTTAGTGGTAACTTTTCATCTCTAAAGGGTCGCCACTGAAAGTCTGATTACTAATGATTTTTGGCTGTGATAAATATAGTTGCCACCAAAAGTATACCTTTGCTGCTAAAAACCATTAGCGACTAGACTTTTAGTGGCGATCCTTTGATGGCGAAAGGTTTTTAGTGGCAACTTTTGGCCTAAACAAAAAGTCACCATGAAAAGTCATTTTTTTTAAAAAAAATATAAAACAGCCATCTCATGCCACATCAGTGTCTCCTTATACCACGTCAACTTACACCTTATGTCATATCACCTATCATGTGTACCTCCTTATGCCATAGCACGTGCCACATCACCTTGTCATGTGTATGTCACGTGTAGCTTCATCTCTTGACATTACTAAACATACGAGACACCAAACACTGAATACCATTATGACAACCAAGATGTCTAAATCCTTTAAAGTGGTTATCATAACTCAAGGGTTATAAAAAGGTTAAAGAAGATTTAAGAAAAATGGGATCTCAAAAAATCCTTTTAGAAGTTTGTTTGAGCTCAAACCAAAATTTAAAATCAATTAAACAAGACAACAGAAGTAAAGGAGTCACAAATGACACTTAAAATAATATTAAAACCATCAAGAAGTTTACCCAAAAATGGCACAATGCGTCACGGCACAATGCTTTGTTTGCCACAGAAGACTGTACAGAGTAAAGTCTCCCTCTCTGTGCCTTACGCAATGGTGCGGCTATTAGTGTGCTGCGGTGCGCGTCCACTATCATGACAATAAACTATTGTCATGACAGCTCTCTGAACCAACTTCTGGAGCACTTTAATTCATCATTTGATGTTTGATTTGAGCGATTTAAGTATCCACACATAGCTCTTAAAGCCACCTAACTATTGACATCAGTCTCATATCCAAACATTGAGCTAAATGAGATTTGGACGCTTAAACCCAAAATGGTATATTTTCTTCCCAAAACCAACCAAGGTGTTCAAGCTCACAAACCAAGTATTAATAGTCGTGGAACCATTTAAACTAACTCAAATAGACTAGAAACAACCTGTACATGCATTAAAACCATCCTAACAACATTTTAAACAAATTTTGGCCACCTAAACCCCATATTCAACATAAATTCTATAGGGGTAACAACCATGCAATAACATTTCCAATGGCTAAAAAGACATGCAAATTTCTACAAAAATAACACTTGTACTAGTATCTCGACCTCTTACAGCTATTACAACACAAATACAACATCTCA